CAAGTGCCACCCCACAATTCAGTTCACGCTGGAGAAAGAGTCCAACTCTAAAATATCCTTTCTTGACATACAACTAACAAGACGAGAACACGATGGAACACTGAAAAGATCTATCGACAGAAAGTCAACATGGAACGGACTGCTTATTAACTTCCACAGTTGGGTACCCTATACACCAAACGGAACCTGATCCGTTCACTTAGCAACAGAGTTCGCAGAATTTGTACCCCGGACACCGTAGAAGATGAACTGGACAATCTCAAGAGAATCCTCGTCGAGAATTGTTACCTAGAACGATTTATTGCAAAATCTATGAATCCTAGGCCACAAAAGCCCCATGCATAGCGTCCGAAGAAACGCTCTATATGAACCTTCAATTCAATGGAGATATATCTGCGGAAATACTAAAAAATCGACTGTCGCGCTCACTCAAGAAGACCTTCTTCGCAGCTGAACTACGACTAACTTTCTCCACAAAACCATGATTCATGTGAACGTGAAGCATAAGCTACCACTGTTGGCCTCATCAATGTGTATCCACCAGCATGGTTTCACAAGGAGAAAAGCGATGTCCCCGCAGCTCCATCTTAGAACACTGATAGAATCCGGACACCAAGCTGCCCCCAAACAAACTTCAAAGTAGTCTACAGAGTAAGAAGTAGTCTTCCAAAATGTACGAATCAGACTTCTTCAAACTGCAGAAGCAATGGCGATTCACTTGCTAAGCCCTGAACTCTGCATACAGAAGAGGTTCGTTCAATCACTACACTTACAATGGACTTAATCTACCTTATTACCTGAAAGGTAAATTCTACCTAATTTTTTCCTGTCTCTTCATTGGTATTATTCTGTCTTCTTAATTGTAATATTTTGCATTTTCAACTTTCTTGTTCTCTACCCCCACCCGATTTAATTTCGTAACCTCACTACCACTTTAATTGACCTGACCAACGCTCAATTTATAGTCATTTATGTTACGTCATCCAATTAATTGCTCAATTTCATTTCTAATCTAAATGGCATTATTATCTACCCCACTTCTACTTAGTCTCTACTGTAATTACCTCTGTTGCTAACTGACCTAAGTTAAAACATTTTAGTCAATTGTATTACGTCATCTAACTTACTAACTCAATCTTACTTTAGTTGCTGTCCAATTAACCTTGTTTCCATATAAGATCATTCTTTTATCACCTGATCATTATCTAATTTTGACAAACCTCATGTACACACACACACTCAAATAATTACATATAAATGCGATTGTACAGCTAAGTGAATGAATTCGCCGAAAAGAGTCACTTCGCTGAACGTCTTCTCTTCATATGATTAAATGGGGATTTTCAAGAAACTACAAAAATCTTTCACAAGTGTCTTATAAAAGACTAACATAACTTCAATGAATTTATCAATTAACTCATTGAAATATGACCAATTCTACAGCATAGCTCTTATAAATAGATATATATATTATTCGGAAGATCTTCTTGTCATCCTCCTACCGACGAACCACTCGTCATTTCCCATTAGAATTCCAATCAAGCAATGACCTGCATTACGTGTGATGTCATTCGACAGACCCCTCAACATATGTCAGTCCATCTCCATCTTCTCAATGTATCTGTTGAGTAACCATCTCTTCGTTGGTTGATTTGTTCCCACCCAGAGTTTCTTGTTGCTAATTCTTTCTGACCAGCTGGCTAGTCGATCTTCAATATAGAGTCAGAGAAGACAGCTGTTGATACAACTCTGTAACTGACTGACTTCAAATTTGTGTTGAAAATCCGAATCTTGTTCTTAACTCTGAGGCGGAGTTCAGAAGATTACCAAACCGGTTTCAAACTGATGAAGGCATATTTCGCCTTTCCGATTCTAGCTATCTTTGACGTCTTCATCTGTTCCACCCGTTATTCCTACATAAGTGAAGTAAGTAATCTCTGTCAAATTTCTCTCATTGATAGTGATTGGTGCCGGTTGTTGTTGCTGTTGGTTGGTTGGTCATCTTCATCATCTCCATTTTCTCTATGTTCACTTAAAGTCTTGTCTTCACTGCTGGCCTCTACAGTCATTTTCTTGGTTTTCGTCTATATATCTTCGAATTAGACATAAATCATCCACGCACTAAATCCAGATATTCTACAATCTTCTTGTCGGTGATCCAGCGTACTCCTGTCTTCTTGCTCACACTGCACATTCTGACGTATAATCAAGTCCGTCACAATTAGGAATATCATCGGTGATAATAGGCAGCCAGCTTGTCTTACTCTTGTAATCACTTCGAACGACTCGCTAGGTTTTCCTTTGTGGATAACTTGACATATGGCGTTGTCATATAGCGAGCCGCTGAATGGGGTTGATCAAGACTTGTGCACTGTACGTGGTGGTGTTGAAGTGGTTTCCAAATTACTTCTCTGTCAACACTGTCTATCGAAGGCCTTTCCAAAGTTGATGAAGTTTAGGTAGAGGTTTGACTGCCATTCTATACTTTGCTTGATGGTAATGCGTAGAGTCTCAATTTGATCAGCACATGATTTGCCTGACTTTCATGAATCTAGCTTGTTCTGGGCGGAACTCCGTATCCAGTGCATCCTTTATTCTCTCCATAATGATGTGACATAGTATTTTACTTGGCGTGGACAAGAGCATGATTCCACACCGATTCATCCACAGGACTAAGTCGCCCTTGTTTGGCAGCTTGACGAGGTAGCCTTTCTTCCAATGGGTAGGTACCTTTCCTTCCTTCCAAACTTTTTGTAATAATGGCATGAGAACATCTGCAGCAGCCTCTGGGTCTGTTTTCAGTGTTGACGGGGGTGGGATTCCGTCTGGCCCTGCTGCCTCCCGGCCGGACTTTAGTAGCTTGACCTCATTCGGAATTTCTGCTCTCGTTGGAGGTTTGTTGTCTACTGGCAGGCAGTTCTGTGAGTGCTGTTGGTGGTAGTGTATTTCTGGCCGATTCGCAGACGATTTACGATTCAAGAGTCCTTTGAAGTGATCAACCCATTGTTTGATTTGTTTTTAATCCGTTGTAATTAAGTTCCTTTGAGCATCTTTTATGGGTTTCACCTCCACTGATGTCTTGCCGGATGAAAATCCGGTTATTTGATACAACGTTCTGAGCCCTATTTAACCTGCTACCTGTTCTGCTTAAATTGCCAGCCAGTGTGTCGTAGAATTGTCTTTTGTCCATCCTAGCACTCTGTTTCACTTCCTTATCCAGGGAGGTGCATGCTGAACTCAGCTTCTCCTTCTGCTCTCTACATTCGCATCCGTTCACCTTCTGTTTCACCATTCCCTTCTCTTTTATTAGCTTCCAAGTGTGTACAAAGACCTATTCCTTGTCTTACTTCCTCTTTTTTCCGCAAAGATTTATTTGAACACCACTTTAAAAGAGTTTCAATGTTCTTTCACACAGATTTTCTCAGCGACACCATTTAGTGTCTCTGATTTTGCTCTGATTTGATCTGTAGTGAAGGCATCGCTTGTAGTTCTGTCCTCCAGTTTCTGAATGTTAAACGTGAATTGTGGTCTCTCTCCAATTGTCATCATTGATTTCAGCTTCGCTATACAGGTTTCTTGAACTAGACGACGGTCTGAAGCCACATCTGCGCCCCTTCTCGACTTTGCGTCCATCAGGCTGCGTCTCCACTTCCTTGAGTAGCATTGATATGATATCTGTCTGGTTTTGGTGTGTCCGTCAGGCGAAATCCATGTTATGTTGTGTATATCCTTGTGTGTTTGTACACACTTCCTCCGATTGCCAAATCACTGAAAGCGCAGAGGTCTGCCAAGCGTTCTCCACTTTCTTTCATTTTTCCTATAGCGTCTCCGTCGTAAGCTAAATCCCTCCACATGCCAGGTAGTTGATTTAATTTTCAGACTGAAGCACTACTTATATTAACTGGTCCGTTCTCAAGTTTCTACTAACACATCAAAACACTGAAGTTGAAACCAATTCGAATTTTAAATGCCTTGGATTTTGTATTCCCTATGATCTTTCCTGATCTTCCCACATTATGTTAGTCTCCACAAAGATATTTCGTTTGATGTTCTACTTAAGGAAGTTAAGATAATCTGGTATTACTCAGTCCCGACTCCTACAGTTTGTTAGTTCTTGAATTCTACGTCTTCTTCCCTATTACTCCTGCTCACTTTTATTGAGCTACTTAGAAAGGATTTTGTTACACTCCGAAGGGTACTGGAAGCTGTCGTCAGTAGGGCAAGTGATGTATCGCTAAACCAACTTGTTAACACCTCCGTAGATAGGCACATGAAGTCATGCAAGAAATTAGCGAATCTTATCTCATCAAAATCTGAGCCTCCTCTTCACATACAACTCTCCTCCTTGCATCTCATCGAGTAAAACTAAAAACAACTTTAAAAGACTTTATGCTCGAACGACTAAGTGCAAAAACTCTACCACCATACTTTACTTGGAACACTTTTCATGTGATGAGAAACATGCAGGGAATGACATTACTAACTTAATTAGAAACGCTAAGTAAATGGCACTCCTTGTTCTTTCTCTCATTATTATACTGTTGGAAATATTTTCACTGAAATTTCGATTTTATATTCACTTTCTTGTTTAACAATATTATCAGTGTAAATACCCGTTTAATCATTACTTCTGTGGTAGGTAGTTAGAAAATTAAACACAGTAGTGTATACATCCTGAAAATGGCATATTTGTATCATAAGTACTGTTGGAAATAAAGCTCTTATTATTACTATTATTATCATGACGAAGATAAAATACAAACTATAATATTACATATCTATCGCTGAATTATGATGATACATTTTACTCAGCTTCACCAACTCACTGAAGTACTCAGTAAACACTTTGACAACAACCGGATTGTTGAATGCAATAACATAATGAATTCATTATCAATAGTCGAATCGTTTTAGTTATGTTCCTCCGAATGAAAAAGACTTCATCACCACAGATTATAGTTTTATAAATTGAAATTTTCACACTATATGAACATTTGTTTATGGAGATATTTTGGAAATTTCAGAATACACGATTCACGTTTGTTGTAATCTTACCAACTACACCGGGAAGACTTGAATATCCTGATAAAGTACTGAGAGGTGAAATCGAACTACCAGAATTGATGAAACAACTTCGACCAACTCAAGTAACCCTAGGATTACCACGGTTCAAGTTAGATACATCACTTGATTTAGTTGGAACAATAAAATCAATGGGAGTAACTGATCTATTTGATGCAAAATTAGCAGATTTGAGTGGTAAGTACACTATGTTAAGTGTTGAAGTTGTCGTGTTATGATGAGACATGTTTGTGCCGTAGAAGTGATAGAGAGAATTTGTAGCTCAGGTGGACGATATTAGTTTAACTGTGTCCTGTGAGCTAGATGCCTAAAATGCCGACATTTCATTATCTTCCAGGACGACATCATCACACTCAATTTTAATATGAATTCGGCTTTTATAATTCTGCATCTCTCTGACAATTCTGTGTTTACATAACTTTGAGAGACTGGCTGTCTTTAGAGATTTTCTTACCGTCTACATGTTCCAATATTGAATATTCTGTCAAACCCATATTTAACCTCTTTTCTGTACAACTTCTTTTTCACCTCCTGATAAATCTGATCTAGAGTTCTAATGAGAAGTCCTGACCGGGAGAGTTAAATAAGTCAGGTGTGAAAACCCTCCAGTGGTACTGATTGGCAGTTATGCTATAAATCTAAAATCATCAGAAGCTAGAATTCATAGATCCCTGAATTGTGTCTGGATGAATAAACGACTAACCTTACGGGCTGAATGTTCTGGGTTCCACCCCTGGTGGGCTCATGAATGCTTATCTCTAAATGTTCCAAACAAGAATAAAATGGGTGCCCACTACTCCCTGGTTTTCAGTGGTTCTGTAGTTGACGTCAGTGTGTGACCTAACTTGAGATCTTATCAACGTCAACGTAATAAACAAATAATTTACCAAAGAGATCTCTTTTCGTGACTTCACTTCAAAGCTGCACAGCTATTTCAGGGATTAGAAAGAAGAGAACACGAAGTTCAGCAAAGATATCTTTTCGGCGATTTCATTCTCAAAAGCTGTACAATTTATATAGATTATTTTACATGGATCCAATTATTATTTGTTTGATTCCACATTGTAACGAAGGTGATAATAATTTTCAACTTGATATGAAAGTTTGAAGGGACGAATATAGATTACAAGGGGCTTAGAGACTAGATTTCATAGGATTAGAAAATAGTTACAACATATGCAAAAATTAATATTTGATAACTGGAGAAATAATTTTAAGTCAAATAGAAGGTGATAATTGTTTTCAACTTGATATGAATTACAAGAGGCTTAGAAACGCAGGGATAGAACGAATTACAGGTGTGAACAAAATGACCATGGAAACAAATTGAAATCAAAATTTTTCAGCTTGAAATGTTAGTTAGGAGGTATGAATATAGATTACAAGAGGCATAGAAACCAAAAATTACACAGGATTAGAATATAAGTGTAAAATGGTTATTCTAAACGGAATACAAGTGTGATCACGAGGAGCAAAAAAAAATATTTGATTTTAATTTGTTTCCATGCTCATTTTGTTCACACCTGTAATTCGTTCTATCCCTGCGTTTCTAAGCCTCTTGTATTTCATATCAAGTTGAAAACAATTATCACCTTCTATTTGACTTAAAATTATTTCTCCAGTTATCAAATATTAATTTTTGCATATGTTGTAACTATTTTCTAATCCTATGAAATCTAGTCTCTAAGCCCCTTGTAATCTATATTCGTACCTTCAAACTTTCATATCAAGTTGAAAATTATTATCACCTTCGTTACAATGTGGAATTAAACAAATAATAATTGTATCCATGTAAAATAATCTATATAAATGCGATTGTACAGCTTTTGAGAATGAAATCGCCGAAAAGATCGCCATCTTTGCTGAACTTCGTGTTCTCTTCTTTCTAATTTCAGGGATTGCTCACATAATATCAATTGACAATAGAGTTCATAGATTATTGTGCATCAGTGATAGCAATATTTCAAAAATGAAGGTTAATCTTACGAAATCAAGAGGGTTGACAACTAATTAGCCAATTGATGAACAATCATTTTGAAATAACTGATAAGAAACAAGAGATCAGAGGACTGAAAACGGGTTGTAAAACATTAAAATAATAATAAAGACTACACAGCTTTTACTATACAGGTATTCAGGGGAACAAAAAAGATGACGAAATAACAACAGAGAGGCTGGACAAAAGGTTTCTGAACACAAAGTTAAGGTTTTGGTTGCACGAAGTGTAACAACAGAAGACAAGGGCCAGGTAACAGATCGTTTTATTTCGAATATCAACACGTATTTATATATATTTCACATACATTATTATAGCTTACGCAAGTAGACAAGTGCAGTCATCTGATTGGTTGTTTATCAGAAGTTAGGCAGACAAACGCAGGCTTCTGATTGGTTGTTTCGGGATTCTTGGAAAAATAGAGTTCTCTATCTGCGAATCATATTTTGCCACGTTAACTTTGCTGTGATTGATTGTTGAATCAGCCTTGTACATATTTTCTCACGGCCTGCTCTCACCACAGAAGATGTGGACGAAATCCCTTAGAACGGCCGCATCTTAATTTGTGTTTTACTCTGAAAAAAATGCCTGCCGATGATGAGCGATCAGAAGCAACAATATACTTCAAAACCGACATGTCGACTATTCCGTGTTTTCCTTTTAACCACTGCGTTGGTAGATATCCTGGTGTCAGGAGCCATGTCTACGTATCTGTTGGTTGCAGATTTACCTGAGTATTAGGCTTCTAGCAGCTACCTAGCATTCTTGGGGCTTTACTTCAGTGAGATCTATACATTTTTATAGTCCAATCGGTATTCACAGTTGTCTGCACGGGAGCAGTTATCATGTCTTTTGGCAGCCAGTTTATACTCGTGGATGAAAAGACGAAAGACACTTTGACCAATATAGTATTTATAGTGTACTCATTCATGAATACTTTATTGATACGTAATCTATCTAAAACACACTTTTTTATCAAGTGAACCAAACCCCACACAGAACGCTCAGTTTTCAACTTCTTTTAATGACTATTTCATGTTTCTTGTTTTATTTTAGGAATAACAAAGACTAAGATTTCCGCTGATGTTCTTAAACAAAGTGCATCTATTAAAGTCAATGAAGAGGGTGTAGAAGCTGCAGCTGCAACCGTCATAAGCTTTTCATTGAGAAGTGCAAGAAGACAAAAGCCTATTCTATTCAATGTCAATGAATCATTCGTTTGCTTTATTTACGATAAAGTACTAAACACACCACTATTTGCTGGTCGTGTGATTACACCAGTAGCATTGAAGGATTGAAAAATGAAAACAAAACATTCTCATCTAGTTCAAAAGACAAAACCATCAGCAAACTCCAGTGTAATTCTCCGTATGACTCTAGTAATAGTACACGGTTAAAGTTGAAACATATATCAAAACTCGGAGAATGGTTTGCACAACTCTGTTCATATTTTAGGATTTCCTTGACATATCTCATTCATTTCTTTTTTGTTGATAAAAATACAGTTGATTACCCCCAAATGCATGCAGAAAGATCTGTTCAGTATTTTTTTAAATCCTTTTCATCTTCTGAAATTAACCAAACGTTGTCATGTTAAAGAAGGTATTCACTATCTATGCGTAAGTATTCGTGAATAAGTGGATGAAAATGTTAATTTTAGAAATTTACTAGATTCATGAAGGGGCATTTTTAATCAGCATATAGATAAGAAAACAAAGTTTATCCAGATGTCAACACATTCAGGCCTTTCTTTGTATGCTGAATATGAGTCAGAGTATTAGCAAGAGTGAATCTGGTTCGAGTGCAATGATAAAATAACAGTATCTTTTCAGGGACAATTTGATTTCTTGAAACGAAGTGTAGATAGATTTCATCCTCATGGAATAGTCTATACAAGACGGTTGAAAACACCCATGTGATATAAATTATAAACACATTACTCTGCAAGCAACATTCGTTTTCTAACTACTTCAAAGCTGTAGACCTAGATAGTGTTCTGAAAGGTCAAGGAAATGCCTATAATGGTCGACTGTTCATATCACTTGGTGACAGAACATATGAAGTTATATCTCAAGAAAAATAACAAATTTTATAATCTATGAGCATTAAGTAATGAACATCGCTCAGGAATGATAACCATTAAAATTACAAGCGGTTGGAAACAGAAATACTGTTTAAAAAGGTGAGAGATTTGTAATATTTTTATAAGGTATATTCTGAAATTAGGAGTTTGGAAGGAGAGAATGAGGGAATGAGATATAGTAAATTAATAAGGACTACACAACAAATAATTGAACGAGTTAAGTAAAGGCAAAGTTTAAAGCCCCGAAAGTAAAAGGGATTGGATAAACCATTTCAGCCCACATTTTCTACTATAGATTTCTTGAGTAGTCAACTCTTGGGTGGTAATAATGTTCCCAGCCAGAGTTTCTTCTTAATAATTCTTTCTGACCGCCTGTCAATTTAATCTTCATTATAGAGCCAGAGAAGACAGCTGTTGATAAAAGTCTGTAACTTGTGTAAAGTTTCTGACCCGTGTATAAAAACCAACTGACTGACTTCACATTTGTGTTGAAAATCCGAATCGTGTTGTTTAAGCTGAGATGGAGTGCAGAAGATTCTTAAACTGATTTCAGGTTGATGAAGGCGTATCTTACCTTTCCGATCCCACCTGGCTTTGACATTTTCATCCATCTTGTTCCCTGTGGTTAAAACTGTCCTTCCTGACCAGATAAGTGAAGCAACTGACCGCATTCAAGTTTCTCTCGTTGATGGTGACTGGTGCTGATTGTTATTGGAGGTGGTTCGGGAATACGTTGAAGAAGAACCATTGGATCGGGCCCAAGTGGCTCAATGGTCTACGAGCTCGCCTTGTGACCAGAAGGTCCTAGGTTCGAACCCCGGTGGGTGCGTACTGCTGAAGAGTCCCAAACCAGGACGAAACTATTGTCCAGTGGTTCTCTTACTGATGTTGGCTCATGATGAATTATAGTTGTAAAGTTTGAAGAATATTTTGAAGCCAATTGTTCTCTCTATTTTTTTCGGATACGAAGTGATATGTGGGAAGATCTGTTCAAGAATTGTATCATCGGTTAGTCTAACTTTTCCTTCAGTCAACCATATTGCGCAATGTACTTGTGCGCTCCTTGTTTAATTACCGGAAAAAATGAAGGTTGGACATGTGACTAGCAATTTAATCGCGTAAGAACAACACCTGCATCACTAGAATTTCAAAGCCTGAAGCCCTATGTCCCAATCAGGAGGTGAGGAAGGAAGAAAAATCAGAATGTTTTCGAAATACGTGTTTGACATTAAAACAGAACACCCACAAACCGCAGCAATAAAGTATAACCATCAAGTGAACCGTAACTCCATTTTGATGCTTGCTTTACTGTGCTGTAAGAATCATACCACATAGACTGAAGTATACTGTTAAAATTCTGTATAGAACTACTTTTATAAGCGCAGAAAGTATTTTGGTGAAAAACTCGCCACAGTTCATAAATTGGTAATTACAAAACTGAGTAATCATTATAGTTGACAACGTGAACAAAGTGGATGATAATGTGACTGATGAACAAAAATTTCCATATGAAATGACATTACATAGATGAACTACTAAGAGGTTTCGTAAAATAGAAGAGGAAAAATAATGCCATTGTTATGGCATCAAAAATTAAAAAGATAGGCGCATATTCGATTATAGGAATTATTTGAAAGATGGTTACAGCGAAGAAAATTTTCTTTGCAACAAAGTCATCAACCGGGCCACACAATCCTGAATTTACAGTAGATGGGTGAGAAAGTTCGAGGACTATTTCCAGTCAAAGGCTAAATCAATAAACAGCTTGTTCTAAAATAAAGTAACTACCAGAATTCACGCAACTGACACTAATGAATGTAAATCAGTGATAAATTTTAAAAATAAACTATTTCCTTCTTCATACTTATAACATGAAATGTCATCACACATGTAAGCAGTATTAAGAACCATCCAAACATGGATTTTAATTTCCACACGAATTCTTAAAATGGTACTTTTAGTTGAGTATTTCATAAAATTAGATGACCAGCTGGCGAGAAGGAAATTTGGTCATTAATCCAACAATACTGACAGTAATCTCGATTTTATATGCAAAACATATTTCCGTTAATAAATGAGATTTACCGGTGTAGACGTGAAATATCTCCATATATGTGTACATGTTTATACGAAACTTTCCTTCAAAGAAATATCAGTGACCTCCAAATATGATTCTAGAACCTTTAGCATTCTAGAATTACATGTAGAAACAACTGAACATACATGGAAAATAAAAATTTTTTAGTAATAAATGTAGGTGAATTCATTTTCTTATGCGTCGGTGGCACAGCGGTTAGGACGCTCGCCAACCATGCACATGGTCCGAGGTTCGATCCCCTGCCGACGAACACCTGATATCTATGGTCGGCCTGCAAAATTTAGGCTACCGATATCCATGCTGAAAATTCCATACTTGTACCAAAAATACAGTGTGGAATCAAGCTGTAAATCAAAAAATTAAAAAAAGATGATGAAAGGCTATTCTAAAAATATAAGATAAAACTATAAAGACTTCAATCGCTAAAATGAATAATGCCGATATTGAACACCAAGTCATTAGCACCGTTCAGCCAAAATCTTCACGGATTTCATTCGTCAATATTGTACATATTTCGAAATAATAAAAAAGATTGCGAAAACAAATTACCTACATGAATTATTCACAGTACCTAAAGATTTGATTACTCGTTGATTTATGCATTCAGCGCGAAAACCGATAGAACAGATAACTAACAGTTCACAGTTCAACACAAATCACAATACACCCCCCAAAACCACTGATTCATCAACACCACGAATCTCATCCAATCCAGATCTTATTTCTTCTACACAAACTCAACACTTGTCAGTATGCCATGCAAATAACTTCTACCCAGGGTATTAAAAGATAAAATAAGTCTGTTGCCAACAAAATACACATGAAGTGGAAACATCCAACAAGCCAGATAACTAGCCTCCTCCATCACAAATTATCGTGTGACCCACTGGATCATCAGATTGTATGTTGACACTAATCACTCACCTCATAAAAGGTCAAAGGTGTGTAACTCTATGAAAGTTGATCGGCTAATCAAGCAATAAATGTGGGTTTTGAGCGGATTACATGTCATATCGTCTCTTAGTAAGTTGTTTAGAATGAATCTGTGAAATCCACTGAGTAGTTTCTTATCTATAATCGTAGTGTTCCAAACTGCTCTAAAGCATAAGTGATTTGAATATTCAGTTAGCAACAAGCACTTTCACTGACCACCTAAATTGTTGCGGTGATTTACACTAGAGCTGTGGTAGCAATGAAGTTTGATTCCTTACAAAATGAGAATCTTTGAGTTAAAAATCTGTAGTGAAATAAACAGAGTAAAGTCAAAAGTAAAAAGTAAACTTAAGATCAAATATTTAAGTGTTGGTTTGTAGGGATTTGGTTAATTGATTACAGGATTTCATCATGAGCTGACATTAGTTAGAGAACCATTGGAAAACCTGGGAGTACTGGACAGCTGTTTCGTCCTAGTTTGGGACTCTTCATCAGTACGCACCCACCTGGATTCGAACCCAGGGCCTTCTGGTTACAAGGTGAGCTCGCATACCATTAAGCCACTAGGACGAAACAGCTGTCCAGTACTCCTAGGCTTCCCAACGGTTCTCTAAATAATGTCAGCTCATGATGAAATCCTGTAAGATAAAATAAGTTTACAGTTGATTTACCCTTATGATGTGCAGATTACTTGATTTTGGTAAGAAAGTTATCATTATGTTATGTAGGCTTTTACCCCACAAATGATTTACATATAAAGATATATTTATGTATATTCATTTGTATCTTGTGTAGCCTGATTTAGTATAATACTTAAAATGGGTACTTATGGTAACTAACAGTTAAGCCTTGGTTTCCATTGAAAGCAAAATCTTTAGCCTACCTGGTCTTTCGGCTCAGTTTGTCAGGGAAAATGAAAGCTTGCACTGTATTACAAATTTAACAGATATGTGAAAAACTGTACGCATAAGACTAATGCTATTAAGACAATCACCTAAACAGTGTTAAAATGACTTTATCAATATCTGAAGTAGCTATTTTCAAATCTATAACTTCTCTTTGAAGCAATTTCTTGATACCTAAAAATGTTGTGATTCTTCCTGGCAAAATAACTTTGGGTAAGCGTCTCTGTAACAAGCTCATTTCATGACTGATTGATACACTCTGAGTGTATTTAATCTCAC